TTCCACATTCAATCGTCCCATCTATTCTTTGTTCATAGATCCTTTATACATGTTCTTTGACATGACTTTGCCTTTTTTCCCCTTTTAGTCCCCTCCCCCAACCCTTTGTGCACTATCAATTTCTTCATTTTTCTTTATTGTTGTTCAATTACAGTTGTCTCCATTTTTCCCCTATTATTCTCCCCTGCCCTACCCAACCCCTTCCCACATTCAATCCTCCCACCTCCATTGTGTTTAGCCATGAGTCCTTTATACATGTTCTTGATGATCCCTCCCCTATCTTTCCCCCATTATCCCCTTCCCTTATATCTTCTGGTTACTGTCAGTTTGTTCTTTATTTCCACATGTAAATCTTTCAACTATGAGACCCACTATCTAAAGGTCTGGCCCCTGTCCGCCATTATCACAGCCTCATCTAACCCACTATGCTCTGAACTTCATTTACCTCCCACTGCAAGTCTTTCACTTTCCTGGTGTTGCACTACCGTGCCGGATGGCATCTATACTAGGCCCCTAATCTGGAACCTCCTGCTGTGCGTATAACCCCTTCATTCTACTGGTCTTCTAGATCTGATGGAGAATCTGACCACCTATTTTATATGAAAACTGCTCTTAGACTTTAAAATCTTACAGTCAGTGGTCCCAGAAGGTGTGGTTCAGTGGATTTAGTGCTGGCCTGAGAACCGAAAGATCACTGGTTCCATTCCCAGTCAGGGCACATGCCTGGGTTTTGATCCAGGTCCCAGGTTGGGGACAAGTGAGAGGCAACTGTTTTTCTCTCTAATACAATGATATTTCTGTCTTCTTCTCTTCCCCCCTCTCTAAAAATAAATAAATAAATAAATAAATAAATAAATAAATAAATAAATCTTTTAAAAAATCCTATGGGCAACAAAGGCAGGGTCTGTTTCTCATAGCATCGTAATACTAGTCTGGAGCTTACCAAAGAATACATGCTACATTAATATTTGGAAATGTAAAGTGCAAGTGTACAAGAAGTCAATCTTATTATGATTTAGTTTCTCCCACATCCTTCAGTTAGCTGAGCTAATCCATGTCCATATACTTCAATTGTGAATAAATTATAAAAGGAATAAAACAAATGAAGAATTGAAAATATTTTACATTTTTTCCATTGTCATGATAATACAGAACTTACTGTGTGGTAATATCCCCTCTCCCCCACCTACTTACCTTTCTTTCTTTTCTTTTTTTCAAAAATCCATATATCAATGTTATGGTATCTTGTTCTAAATAGGAAATGATCTAGCAATTTTCAATTTTTACCTAATACCAGAATTCCTACATTTCAGTTTGCTAATCTCCCATAAATGTGTGATCCATGTCACTCATATACTTATGTTCTGGAACTAGATAACCTCATATTGAAAGGAACAACATTAAAAAGAGAAAAAAAGATAAACCTCCAATTTCCCCATACTCTACAGGAACACAGTATGCACTGTGTTTGCAGAAGCCCCACCTTGGCTCCTCACTGGTTAGAAGACTGGCTGCTTTCTTGAACCACAAAGTAAAGACTCTGCCTGCGGCCTCACTGGGATGAGAGAAGTTCGGGACATGCGCTGGACAGCAAACTGGCCGTGGCAGCAGTAGGGGAGCCCTGGCTGCAACTCTGACATGATGTGGATATACCATGTATTTTCAATCACTATGGAGATGCACATTTATATATTTTTGTATTGTTGAGTGTGTGCCTTAAGGAAAAGTTTTCAAAGTGTAATGCTGGCTCAGGGTAAATGTTTAGTTTTGTTACATATTGTCAAATTTAACACTAAGAATTTTTGCAACAATGTTCTTAAGTGATATGGGAAATAAGTAATATTCTTAAGTAATATAATAATAAAGTGATTTTGAGCTTTTTATCTGGTCAATATATTTGTTTCATTTAAAATTTTGGAAGTTTTGATTTTTTTATGCTCTGCAATAATTTGTGTGAGGAAATTTATACATTTGCAGTAGTAAGAGAATAGTGTAACCAGTGCTCCAGGTACTCATTTCCCAGCTGCAGCCATATCAACACACAGTCTTGTGTCATCTTTTATCACCCTCAGCTCCTAAGTTATTTTGAGGCAAACATCTGTAACAATATTTATCTTATTATGTACCTTTAAAGGTGAAAGTTCTTAAACATAACCACAGTACCACAAGGGCACTGGCAGTCAAAATTCCAAGATGGCCTACCAGATTCCTGACTCCTGGTGTACATACATCTTCTTCCACTTAATTCATCAAACACTAACCTAGGTGCTGCCATGAGAGATTAGGCAGATGTAATTCAGGTCTCAAATCTGATATTGTTAAAATGAGATTATCTTCTGGGCCAGATCTAATGAAGTGAATCCTTAAATGGGATGGGGCTTTTCCCAGTGAAACAAATCCAAACGGTGAGAGGGAGGTTCTCCCTGCTGGCTTTGAAGATGGAAGGAGCTGAATGGCATAGCACAGAACTAAGAGTGACCTGAGAATGGTCCCTAGCCTACAGCATGCAAGTAAATGGGAATCTTTGTCCTTCAATATCTGGTAGCTGAATTTTGCCCCCCAAATGCATGGTATTGGAAGGAGCTCCTGAGCTCCACATGAGAACAAGGCTACCAGTTGCAACGAGTGCAGAGTTGTGAGATTTCTGAACTAGGGAACCCAGCTGTTCCATGACCAACTCCTGACCTATGGAACTGTGAGGTACTCAATGTCTGTAAGGTGAAGGTATTAACTTTGTGGCAATTTGTCATAAAGTATTATAGCATATACAATGAAAAAATTTTATCTATGGATTATTTTTTCTCATAACTAGATCATTTAAGGTATAATGGCTTGGCTATGTTTACACATCTCATACTGTATTACTATTTCCTTTCATCCTGTGCATTACTTCCCCAGGGGTTATTTTATAACTGAATGTGTGTACCTTTAGGCCATTTTCACCAATTTGCCCACCTTCCAACCCCCGCCCCCCCACCTTCCCTCAGCAAGCACCAGTCTGTTCTGTGAGTTAACTTTTTAGTGCGTTTTAAAGATTCCACATAAGTAATACCATATAATATATGCCTCTGTCATTTGTAAAGTTTCTAATGAAGTAACACTATTTGAAAATCATTCCTTATTTCATCTAACCCATGCTTTCACAAATATCAGGAATTCTTTCTTTTTTATGGCTGAATGATTTATCTTTTTCTCTGTGTTTGTGAGTGTGTGTGCTAGTATCCCATTTCCTTTGTACATTCATTCACTGATGGTTACTTAGGTTGTTTCCATGTCTTGGCTACTAAAATTAATATTGCGATGAACATGGGGGTACATATACCCCTTCATGTTAGTGATTTCATTTACATAAGTAGCCAATAGTGGAATTACTGCCTAAGATGATAGTTATACTTTTAACTTTTTGAGGCATCGCTATACTGTCTTTTATAGTGGCTGCATCAATTTACATTCACGTAAACTCATTAATTTTTTAATAATCTAGGGATATCCAGGTATATAACTTTTAAAATTAAGAAAAGATGGAAGGGCATAAGGCAAACTCATAATTGACCAACTTTTATATCTTTCTACCTCTGTCTATTCTGATCCAATCTAATTTGGGGTTTTTTTTTCACTTTAGCAAACATATCACCAATGGAATGCAATGCTGTCTTCTTCAGGATCACAAAAGTAATTTAAGGATTTTCAATGTGTATTTCAGACCACAAAACTCTTACTCCTAAACCGGACATACACAAGAATAAGTGTGTGATCCCTGTCTTTCACATACTTACATTCTGAACCTAAACAGACTTTCTGTTGCTAAAACACCACTTGTAAATTAACTCAAAATAGAAGTCAACGAGATATCTGTGCACATCAGGAATACTCGTCAACAGGCATTTCCAACCACAATGTGAAGACTCCACCTCAGACCTCTATCAGGGTGACAGAAGCGACTGGATATGGCCCTGGGTCACCCAGTGACCTCCCAATGGGACTAAATTCTGCTTAGAGACAAAAACTAAATAATATGCTATCTCTACTCCCTCTTTACTTTACTTTTTACCTGTTCCTTGTGAATTAGAGAGAATCTCAACGTCTTTGGTAATGATAGCTTCTCCTACAGTCAAATTGCATGGGCAGGGGCAGTGTCTTCTTTGCCTAAACATCCCCAGTGTAAGTATGATGACTTTCAAAGCGCCAATGTTCTATCAAGACTGTGCAAAATAAAAGCCATGAACCAAGAAGTCTTATTCACTATGATTTATATTCTCAAACAATCTTGTAAAACATGAGCAAATCCAGGTACATATCTTTACAATCTACACAACAAAAGACTAAATGTAGTAAGGAAAACAAGAAATGACCAATTTTATATATGTACCACATCTTTTTTATCCATTCATCTACAGATGGGACATGTAGTTTGTGTCCCTGTCTTGGCTGTAACAGACCAGCTGGGTACAGCATAGGTAATATAGTCAATATCATTCTAATAACTATATCTGGCTTAGATGGGTACTAGTCTTCTGGAGAACACTTTGTATTTTTGGTAAATTTCTAACCATTATACTGTACACCTGAAACCAACATAATACACTATGCCAATTGTAATTGAAAATTTTTAAGTGACCAATTTTATCTTTATTTACCTACATACTTACTCATCTATATATCTATTCACTGCTCCTATTTTAATGTAAACTTATTTCACTTAAAGATATTACTATTCTAAAACCATGTTATCTTGTTCTAGATCACAAGAGTGACTTGACAGTTTGCCAATTTATATTTCAAAAATAAAACTTTTACTCCTAACCTGACATATGGTAATAAATATGTGATCCATGTCATTTATAAACTTATACTCTGAATCTAAGAAAACATTCTGTCCTAAAGCACACCTTTTCAAAATGCACAAAACGCACAAAGGTAAGCAAACAGGATATTTTGCATATTAGGAGAAACTGTTTAACAGGCCTTTCTAACCAAGAAGTGAAGGCTCCATCTTGAGGTCACTCAGGGTGAGAGTAGTGGCTGGATGTGGCTGTGGGGTGACCGCTGGCCTTGGAAGGACATCCAGCACTGGATTCAGCTTGGGCTCTGGCTTGAGCTCTCTCTTCCTCATCTTTCAAAGCCTCTTCATAATGGGTGCGGAAGACAGTGGGGTCATTATCATTGAGCTTGGCCAAAAATTCCAGGATTTTCATCTTGCTGGTCTCGGCTAGGGATTTTGGGCCCCACAGGAACTCGAAGCGTGGAGGATCACTGTTGGGCACCTGCTGGTACACGAGGTATTTTTCCTGCACCAAATCTTGGGTGATAAGCTTCCTTGGCTCCCCAAAAACGAAGTGACTCTTTCCATCATAAACACCCATAATTTTCAGGGATTCCCAGATCAAATTCTCAGAGGCACGGTTGCCATTCAAGAAGATGACACCCAGGAGAGGCATCAGAATCCCTCTTACAGGAAATCTCCAGCCTCTGCTCAGACTCCCATCACTGGCGTCATCTTGATTGTCAACAAGGGTGTAGTAGTTTCCGTTGGACTCAACTTCTTTTAAGTGTAGGCCATAGAGCAGAGCCATGTGTTCAGAGGTTCTCCTGAGGATCTCAGGGAAGTTTTTCCTGCATGATTTTTGGACTAACTTCAGCATATCTGCCTTTTTAACTGGCTCCTTCATTATATACTGATATAGCAGGTACTCTACCAACATACTCGCTTTCTGAATTAGAAGATCTTGACCAGAGCACCCAGTGGAAGTTGAGGCCTGGGAGGAACTTTTACTTTTAGGACCATGGCTTTTGGCTTTTCCAGTAGATCTTTCGCATGAAACACTTGCTGTGGTACTGGTGGTGGCTGGAGCACTCGAAGGTGCCTGGAGAGGACCATCACCAGTGGCACCCAATGAAGGGTCACCCAGAACAGAAGAGGAGGAACAAGCGCCCTCTACTTCTTCTCCTGCAGTGGCCTGGGCACTAGTAAGACTTTGGGTCTCAGCTCTGTTTTGGCGGCGTTTCTCACGAGCACGGAGCTTACTCTTTTGACCACGAGGCATGATGACTGTTGTTCAGGAAAGCAGAAAGGAGTGTGGGCCAACAAAAAGGTGATGTGGGCACCTGGTGGATGGAGAATGAGAGAATGTGAACACCTTCAACAGGTAGATCCAGCTTGGCTCTATTGAAGGCTGCCTCTGTAGGCTTTCCTGAGGGTGCTACTCTAGAAACCCACAAGGCTCCTGTTCTCCACATCAGTCTGTTTGCTAAGAATCCCACAAGGGAATCACTTAACCTTTAGAGAAGGTCTCATGCTCCATTCTACTAGAGTGCCTTGATTTTATTCAAGTGACAGCAGGTGACATCAGTATATATCCCTCTGTATGGCATGTGGACTCCTCTCAGTTCATCAGTAGTATTATCATGTCAACTCTGGGCAAAGCCTGCACACCTTCCCCTCTGCTTCTCTGAAGTTGACAACTTAACACTCCCTGGGACCCAGGAGAAGAACTGAAAGGGAGCCTCAGTCCAACAGCGTATTAGGGGACACATAGTGCTGAGATTTTAGTGGGCTCTTTTGTTTCCTGAGTTCATGTGGATTCTCAGGTGTCAGTCAGGCTCCTCAATTTGGATTCTTGTAAGGACTGGCACCTCCGCCCTCTCTTTAACTCATGACTAGACCTACAGATTAAGGATCTCACCTCCCTTAGAACTGATATAAAGAAATTCAGGGAAAACTCAATCAGCACATCCCTGAGATTTCATATGCTGATAGTTAAGAGTTGGAGTGGATGCTTTGATGACCCCTTTATGCAAGGTTGGCTGGTTCATTGAGCTTTCTCTTATATTCCTCAATTGAGCTCCTGGAAGAGAACTGCTGCTCACAGTACTATCCAACCTCCCCGAGAACCAATAAGAGGATATGAAGTTGATCTTATCACACACAAAAAAGAGTGGGGGTTGTTGCACACAGGTTGATGTGCTATGGTAAGTGGTTCCACACAGATCTCAATTCAAGGTCTAAATTTGAGTCCTGCTGGGGCCATGATTTCTCTCCCTACTAACCTGAGACCACTCCCCTCACATCCTTATTTCCCCTGAGGGAAGACTGATGGGCACTCTAGCATGATATCTATACTTGAGGTTTGCCAGGGCCGAGCACAAGAAGGATTCTTTGTGGTCCCACTGGTATGGTATAGCACGTGCTCACACTCCTCGGGTCTTTAAAAAAAACTAGGCATAACATGAAATCCTGCCACCCATGAAAGGAGGTTGCCCCCTTTGAACCGAACTGTCCCCTCCCTGAGATGGCCTGGGAATAAGCGATTGCAACTCATCCTGGCGACATGCCCAATCTCACAGGGCTGAAAACAGAGCTGAGACTTCAGGTGGCCCCCCACTTTCTGGGCAGGGTCCCCCATCCTCCACACTGTCACAACCCTAAATCCCCTTAGGGACTGGCTCTCCTTTTCGGATTTGGGCTTCCTCCAATAAACCAATGCCCTCACCACCCTGAGACCACCTCCAGAGGAAAGGAGGGCCCAGCTCAGGCTGCCAGCTCTGCCCAGGCCCCTTTTGCTGAGTTTGGGAGTGGGCGGCTGCAACCCTCGCCTCCCTTAGTTACCACTAGAGGGGATGTTACTTCGCTTTTTCTATCCTCTGCCTGGCGACTCGTAGAGCTGAGGGCATGGTTAATGCCCCTCTTTCGGCAAGTCGGGCTACTCACGTCGGGCAAGAAAGGCCTTCTCACTAACACCTTCGAAGCCGAATTCAGTCCCACAGCTCTGCTGGGGTCTCTAAGAACCCTAACGTAGGAAAGGGGGACAAGGGGGGGCCCACCTTCGCTTTGGGGGGGGTGTGGTTTCTGCAGCTCCCACTCAAGGTCGTCACCTTGACTCAAGACCGGTTCTGAGAATCCGCTCTCGGCTGGAAAGCAGCTGTCGGCGCGCGCCAGGAAAGGCCCTCCTCCCAAGCGGAAGTCGGGGGGTCCTATCTGGCAGGGCTGTCCGCGGTGCCTGAGACCGGAGAGCAGCACGGGGTTCTGCAGGACCCCATAGCTTAGGAGTTGGGGGACCTCGGTCCTCACTCAGGGTCTGCACTTTTGTGTCTTCAGAGCCTGGGCTTGTCTCTCTAGTGATCCAGGTGGTCCCGGCTGCCAACAAAGTGCTCACTTTCCTGAGTCCTAGTGTGGCAGTTGGAGCGGACAGCTTCTAATGAGCGCCCTGCGCCTTACAGGCCTGACAAGCGCAGAGGGACCTTGTGAGGCTCCCGCTTTGTGGGGGAGGTCCTCTCCTTTAGTCCTGAGTGTCCTTGCTTTGCCTTGGTTATGTGCTAGACTCCTGTCTTTGCAGAGCTGGGCTTGGATTTTATTAAGCAAGGCTCTTCCCTCCATGAGACTACCCTCCTGGAATACATGAACTCCTCAATAGTAGTGCTTCCTCTCCCCCAGGGCTAAGGAAAGCCCTGGTCTCTAGGTGGAACCTCTGGTTTTTAATGTGTCCCCTTACAACACTGAGGATACTCACATAGATGGATTCCTGTTAGAGACTCCATCGTTCCCTCTGCCGGACCAAAATTGCCTACATTACATGGATGTCCTCACCTCCCCAAGACTTCCCAGGCTCAAATAAGCCTGACATCTCTGCCCGGGGATTCCGAGTATGACAGCAGAGGAGATTTTGTGATACCTCTTCTCATGCTGTGGGTGCTACCCCTATTCCAGTTCAGGGTCCTTCCTTTGACAGATGACCAGTCCTGAAACTTTGGCCTTTGCTTTCCTGTCTTTGCTCTTCTTACAGTAATATTGCACTTTGATGGGAATTCGAAGTCAGAAATCAGGTTGGTCCTCATATGGTCATGGACCTTCAAGGCCTCCAAGGATATACAATAGGGGTTCAACTCTAAGACCTTGGTATTCTGGCTGGTTCCTTCCAGTCTTCCTTACTTAGGATCTTCATCCTATCTGTCAGAGCCTCAGACTCTTTCTACTGAGCTGAGATACCCTCTTTAACTTTTCTTTGATCCCCATAAATTGTGATGATTATTTCTTCCCCTTAAGACATGGGAGTCCTGAACTTGGCTCCTGTCTCTAGATTAAATGTCTCCTGGAAAATGACACCTCCCTGCAAACACATGATCCATTTCCCTATTGCAAATCTGCAGAAAGTGGGCCACCTGTTTATGGGGGATGTAAAATTAGGAAACTGCAGTGCAAATAGGAGCCCAGGACTTGGGCTTTTCTGTCTCAGAAAAGCCAGCTGATACAGTATTTCTTCTCACTAGTCAGACTTAGGAAACATAGAAGCATAGAGCCAGCTGTATGTGAGTCCTGATTGACCTTTTTTTGGTAGTTTTATTCATTTATTTTTAGAGAGAGGGGAAAAGAGGGAGAGAAACATCAATGTGCAAGAGAAACATGTGTCAGTTGCCTATTGCACACTCCCAACCAGTGACCTGGCCTGCAACCCAGGCATATGCCTTGACCAGGAGTCGAACCAGTGACCTTTCAGTTTGAGACACAATTTCCAATCCACTGAACCACACTAGTTGTGTCCTGATTGATCTTTTCAGGTATCTTATATTACACATATAGATGATCATATTGTCACAAAGACTGGTTTATTTCTCTCTTTTTTTTTCATATCTTCTATTTATTTGGGTATTCTTATTGTTCCAGTTTTGGAATCCAATCTAGTGTTTTGTTCACAAGGCTCTCCCCTTTATCTTCTGAGATACACTTTGGAGTAGTAGACAGATGTGAATTAACTGACTCATGGTCAGCTGGAAGGAGTGCTCTAGTATGAATTCTGGACAAGTTCAATTCAGGGCATGTAGTCTCATCCTTGTCACTTATTAGCTGTGTGACCTCAGGTACATTAGCCACTCTGTGAGCCTCAGGTTCTGCATTTGTGAGGAGGTTTGTTAAGTCCTGTCTTTTAGAACATGCAGATTGTAGTTAATGTATGTGAACACGTGGCTAGGTGTCTGGAATGCATTGTGATTTTGCACAATGTTTATTATGTCCATTATTAGGATTATTTCAACCCAAGAAAAATACCACTCACCTTTAAGATTTATTTTTTAAGTATATTTTATTGATTATGCTATTATAGTTGTCCCAATTTTTTCTCCTCTTTATCCCCCTCCACCCTGCACCCCCTCATCCTCCAGCATTCCTCCCCCTGCCTTAGTTCATGTCCATGGGTTGTACCTGTAAGTTCTTTGGCTTCTCCATTTCCTATACTATTCTTAATCTCTCCCTGTTTATTTTATGCCTACCAATTATGCTGCTTCTTCCCTGTATCTTTTTCCTCTCCATTCTCCCCTTTCCCACTGATAATCCTTCATGTGATCTCTATTTCTGTGATTCTGTTCCTATTCTAGTTGTTTGCTTAGCCTTTGTTTTTTAGGTTCAGTTGTTGATAGTTGTGAGTTTGTTGTCATTTTACTGTTCATAGTTTTTGATCTTCTTTTATTTCCTAGATAATTCCCTTTAACATTTCATATAATAAGGGCTTGTTAATGATGAACTCCTTTAACTACCTTATCTGGGAAGTATTTTATCTGCCCTTCCATTCTAAATGATAGCTTTGCTGAATAGAGTAATTTTGCCTTAAAGATTTAAAAAATCCTGTAGATGTCAGAAAGTATTTGGTACTTTAGTACATGAACCACCAAGTCAGTCCAAAATGTTTTTTACAAAGAAACTCTGAGTACATTTCTTCCCATTAAATCATAATTTGAGTGTGAGGGTGTTTTTGCATATGAATACAACTCAAATCTGCTAGAAATTGATTCAATGTCTATCTTTCTTCCAAAGTAGCTTCCTTTCATACAAACCTTCCTTTCATTAATTTCACCAGCAGGTAAAATCTATACCTCTCTTAGAGTTTACCAAATGATAGCAAAAGGAACAAGGTGACAAAAAAATTTTGAATGCCATCCTAGTAGAATGGGCTTTGACCCCAACCTATAGCAAATACTGTCAACTCGATGGTTGCTGAGCTTCCAAACACAGATTATCACCCTCATTTTGCAGACACTCACTGGGGATGAAGTGCAT